CGAGAGGAGGAGATCACCAGCTACCGAGCGGTGAAAGATGCGCTCTTGGCCAGGTATGCAGTGAACCCAGAAGCATACAGACGGCGATTTAGGGAGACTAATAAGCAGGTTGGCAACTCCTATGTAGAGTCCACCATACAGCAGCCCACTGGATGGTGGGGTGCCAAGCGGTAACTGGGGAAGAGGTGCTGCAAGTGTTTCTGCTGGAACACTGTTTTGATCGACTACCTACCGGAGTCAGAGAGTGGGTCAGGGATCGAAAATCCTCCACTTTACCCAAAGCTGCTCGTCTGGCAGATGAATACAGACGCCCGCAAATTGGACAGTGCCATTACTAAAGTTCCTGCCAGAACAGAGAACAGACCAGCAGCTCCAGCTCCGGCCGTATACCAACCCTCAGCACACCGCACTTCAACACTACCGCCAGCTAACAGTTAAACCTAGCCATCCCGGTTCAACACCCTGGATTATTCTCAACCCATTAGGTGCTTTGGGTGTAAACAGTTGGGGCACAAGCGACCAGAGTGCCCACTGAACAATGCCAACCAAGCCCAGTCATGGAGAAGACCAGCCAGCGGGAATCGGCGTCCATCTCAGCCTGCGGCTCACTGTAAAGAGCAGGAGGAATTCTGGGGCATACTACACGAGGCCGACCCTGTACAAGCAGCCCATCAGGACAACCGTCAGCAACACCGGCAGACTGTGAAGCTGAATGGCAGAGTGGTAAACGGACTGAGAGACACAGGAGCAACCATGACACTGCTCCAAAAGAACTTGGTCTCAGAAAACCCAACATACTGGAGACACTGTGGCATTGAGGGTGGCAGGAGGCGCCGTGTTCCGTCTAGCTGTTGCCTGGGTCCATTTGGATTGGGGAGTGGGCGCTAGACACGTTGATGTGGGGGTTATGAAGGACTTGCCCGCTGATGTCCTCCTTGGGAATGATTTGGCCCCTTTGGTTTCTGCTTATGCCCCGATGGGCCCAGCTGACGTTAACTCTGTGAATACCCGTGCTATCGGAACCAGCTCGCCTGCTGATGAGACCCAGGTAAGACCCTCTTCACTGACTGGTACCCTGGATCAGGCCCCTTTAAGCTGGGATTCCCCAGAGGAGTTTGGGAGGGAAACCCAGGCAGACCCGACTCTCCAGAAGTACCGAGATAGAGCAGAGGAAGGAGTAGAGAGGGAGAGGTATGAGTGGGTAGGGGACAGGCTCTATAGGATCCCTAAGCCTTCCCAGAAGAGTGTCGCCCCTCTGCCGAATCGACAGCTAGTGGTACCTGCAAAATACCGGCAGGAGATTCTGCGGATAGGGCATGATGTTCCGTTAGCTGGACATCTAGGGTCACGCCGCACAGCCTATAGGATCACGCAGAATTTCTTTTGGTCCAACTTTAATCAGGCTGTACGGATGTATTGTAGTACGTGTGACACATGTCAACGGGTAGGAAAGCGGGGGGACCACCCTAAGGCTAGGTTATTATCAATGCCTATTATAGGGGAGCCCTTTTCCCGCATAGCCGTTGACATTGTGGGTCCACTGGCCAGGGCTAGTCCATCCGGTAAGAAATATATTCTCACTGTGGTGGACAATGCCACTCGCTATCCAGAGGCAGTAGCGCTGTCTAATATGGAGGCAGAGACGGTTGCTGATGCCCTGGTTAGAATTTTCACTAGGGTCGGGTTCCCTAAGGAGATCCTCTCCGACCAGGGAACCCAGTTCACTGCTGTGCTTACCCAGCAGCTGTGGAAGGTGTGTGGCATTAAACCGTTACTTAGCTCACCCTATCACCCACAGACTAACGGTCTCTGCGAGCGCTTTAACGGTACCCTCAAACAGATGCGGAGGACCTTTACAGACACTTGCAGAGACTGGGAGAGTTTCCTGCCTCATCTGTTATTTTCTTACAGAGAGGTGCCCCAGGAATCTACTGGGTTCTCCCCCTTTGAGTTGCTTTATGGGAGAAGGGTCCGCAGACCACTGGATTTCTCTCTCATTAGAGGCCACTGAGAGGGGGAGACGGAGCAGGAGGGGATCCCCATAGTGCCATATGTTCTGGAACTCCGGGAACGCATGGAGAAACTGTCTCTGATGGTAAGAGAGAATCTCCAGGCGGCCCAGGAGAGACAGAAGAGATGGTATGATCAGGGTGCCCGACAGCGAGTCGTCCAGGTTGGGCAGAAGGTATTGGTGCTCAAGCCTGTGAGGGCGAACAAGATGCAAGCGTATTGGCAGGGCCCGTACAGAGTAGTAGCCCCGATATGTGATACTGCCTACCTTATAGCCAGCTGTGCAGATGAAGGGATTCAGAGGTCCTTTCATGTGAACATGCTGAAGGAGTATCAGGAGAGACCTGAGAATATTGCTGCAGTATGCACCCCTGCTGCAGATGACCCTGAGAATCTACCCCTTCCTGATTTGTTAGAAAGGGAACCCCAGACTGACCTTACTAACCTTGTACAGCTAGGGGACAGGTTAAACCCCACAGAAAGGGTGCAAGCGAAGCAACTGTTGTGGGAGAAGCAGACGACGTTCTCCCAAGAGCCAGGTTATACTACCCTAGCTGTACATAAGGTTGAGACCCCTGGACAGAACCCCCTACGACAGCCGCCCTACCGTATCCCTGAAGCAGTCCGAGAAGGAATGGGGAAGGAGATACAGGAGATGACCCAGCATCTGGAATCAGGACGGGACCACACGGTTCTGTGTGGACTACAGGCGACTCAACGATGCCCCGGGTAGACGAGTTACTAGATCGTATTGCCAGGGGCGCTACCTGACCACCATGTGTAAAGGCTACTGGCAGATCCCCCTGGCTGAGGATGCTATCCCCAAGTCGGCATTCGTCACCCCCTTTGGCCTGTACCAATTTAAGGTCATGCCCTTTGGGATGAAGAATGCCCCGGCTACCTTCCAGCGATTGGTGGATAGGCTCCTTGATGGCTTCCAAGAATTTGCCTGTGCATACTTGGACGACATTGCGATTTACAGTGGGTCCTGGGAGGAACACCTGGTACATGTAGGGGTGGTACTGGACAAGATTCGGGCCGCAGACCTGACATTGAAGCCAGAGAAGTGCCATCTAGGTATGGCTGAAGTACAGTACCTGGGTCACAGAGTGGGGTGTGGCAGCCAGAGACAGCCAAGGTAGAGGCAGTGGCTAACTGGCCGACACCTACCACTAAGACCCAGGTATTGGCATTCTTGGGGACGGCAAGGTACTACCGACGTTTTGTCCCTGACTACAGCACTATTGCTAAGCCCCTAACCGACCTGACAAAGAAGAACTTGCCTAAGCAGGTCCTGTGGTCTCCAGCTTGTGAAGCTGCGTTCCAAGCACTAAAACAGGCTCTTGTGAATGCCCCTGTCTTGGCTGCCAAATGCTTTCTCGTCCATACAGATGCTTCCATGTATGGACTGGGGGCTGTGCTGAGCCAAGTTGGGGAAGATGGAGGAGAGTACCCTGTCGCTTATCTCAGCCGAAAGTTACTACCCAGAGAAGTGAGTTATGTGGCAGTGGAGAAGGAGTGTTTGGCCCTGGTCTGGCTTAAGAAGTTAAGTCCCTACTTATACGGGCAAGAGTTTTCCCTTGTGACTGACCATAATCCTCTTGTCTGGCTTAACCGGTCTCAGGAGACAATGGTAGACTACTGAGGTGGAGTTTGGCGCTACAACCTTACAATTTCACTATCAGCTACAGACCCGGTAAGCAGAACAGGAATACAGATGGATTGTCCCGGCAAACTGACATCCCCACCACCTCCTAGTCCGGTCATCCCCAAGTTGACCCGCCAAAGGGTCAAACCGGGTCTGCCAGAGTGTCCCACAAGGAGGGAGACGTGTGACAGAACCATCTGTATGCCTATGCGTGGTGGATTCGTCTATTTTGCCCTCCTTTCGTGGAAATGGCTGTTTCTATAGCCCATGCATACTAGGATCGACCGATAGCTGATTTTTTGTTTCCATACCTATACCGATATTCTGTGAACTTTAAGGCCGATAGCCGATATAATTTGCCGATATTCTGTACATTTACCATTTTGGAAAATAAAAACTATTTCTAAAGGTAAATGCACAAAATATACATGCAACGTGCAGTGGATGCAGTGTGACAGGGGAGCTGTGTGTGTTTGTGTAGTGTGTGTAGAGGATGCAGTGTGTGTTTGTGTAGTGTGTGTTGTGGATGCATTGTGTGTTTGTGTAGTGTGTGTGGAGGATGCAATGTGTGTTTGTGTAGTGGATGCAGTGTGTGCATAGTAGTGTGTATATAATGAAAGCAGAGGTGTGGGTAGTGTATGCAGTGAATGCTGCATATACTAAATTAAAGTGTGTGTGTATATAATGAATGCAGAGTGTGTGTGTGTATATAATGAATGCAGAGTGTGTGTATAGTGAATGTAGTGTGTTTATATAATGCAGAGTGTGTGTATATAATGCAGTGTGTTTGTGTAGTGTGCATTATATAAACACACTACACAAACACTGCATTATATAAACACTACACAAACACTGCATTATATAAACACTACACAAACACACACACTGCATTATATACACACTACACAAACACACACTGCACAAACACACTACACAAAACACACACTGCATTATATAAACACACTACACAAACACACTGCATTATATAAACACACTACACAAACACACACAGCATTATATAAACACACTAAACAAACACACACACTGCATTATATAAAACACACACTATACAAACACACACACTGCATTATATACACACACACTATACAAAACACACTGAATTATATACACACACCAC